TGCCCCTTCCCCAGCCCCTGCTCTGATGCAGCTCCTCCCGACCCAGCCCCCGCCTCTTCCCCTGCTCCTGTCCCAGCCCCTCACACTGGCCCTGATCTCCCTCTTCTCCCAACAGCCTCGACGATGGTGGAGGCGGCCAAGGGCAGCCCCAGCGTAGCCCAGCTTGCCCAAGGGCTGGACTCGGTGCTGGGAGAGTTTGCCTTCCCCCAGGAGTTTGTGGCCGAGGTGTGGGCAGCCGTCTGCCACGCTAAGGGGAATAAGGAGTAGCTGGGGGGCAGGTGTTGCCCCTCGCTTTTGTCCCCTCCCCATGTCCCCACCTCATCCCCACCCCATATGGGGCTGAGGTGCTGGTGGGGGTTCCCATCCTGCCCCCCACACCCTCCTGGAGAAGCACCAAGATCTGTCCCTTGGGTTGGGGGGCAGAAGGCACCCAACCCACGCTCCTTCCTGAGGATCCCCCTTGCACACCCCCCCCAAATGTGGTGGGCAGTGGCTGTGGCTCATTAAAGGAGAGATTGAAGGAGAAGGGTTGTTGCTCTGATTGTCAGCAGGGTGAGTTCCCCCCAGGTACCCTCCCTGGGCCCCCCTTGAGGTGGTCACCCCCAGTGGGCACCAAGAGCTGCACGAGCTGTGTTTTATTGGGGACGGGGAGGGGGAAGCAGCCCCCTGACAGCCCCTTGGGTATCAGGCTTGAGGAGGGGGAGGCCCCTGGATGCAGGTGATGAGGATCCACTGCAGGGGTGGGATGGGGGGATGGCCGTGTCCCCCTGCCCAGTGCCCGTCCCCAGGGCTGCTACTGCAGGACGGAGCCAGTGGTGAGTTTGCGGGGCAGGGAGGGGGTGAGGGACACGATGGAGGGCCGGGGGTGCAGCCGGGGATACACACGCTGCAGCACAGCCCGGCGGAACAGGATGTAGACCCAGGGGTCCAGGATCTGGTTCCAGGTGACCATGCGGATGTAGATCAGCAGCATCTCCTGTGTGTCCGTGGGCAGCACCTGTGCCTGGCCAGGCAGGTGCTGCAGGACCATCTGGACAATGAAGATCTGGGGGCAGAAGGAGGCAAAGTGTCAGTGGAGGATCCATGAGCTGCTCCAGGAGTGATGAAGATCGAGGCACTGAGCCTCTTGGAGGAGTCCTGGCCTAGTCTGGGGCATTGGGGAGCACCTGCTCTGCCTGTCACCAGGGGCCAACTCAGGGTCTAGAGATGTGACAGGGGGATACTGGCAGGGAAGATCTTATCAAGGGGACACTCCCAGACCTGGGACCTCACTAATAGGGACATGGAAGGAACACAGTGAAAGCTGGGACCTTGCTGTCAAGGATGTGGGACACTATACCCCAGGAGGCACATGGAGGGACCTGGGGGGAACACACCAAGACTGAGGCCCCACAAGGAGGAACAGGCTACGTGGAGACCTCCACAAGGAGAAATGGGGGGACATGAAGGCTCAGGAGGGACCTGGAGGGGTGGTGATGGGGCACACCAGGACAGGGGCCTCACCAGGAGAGGCATCCAGCAGATGGTGGCGATAATCATGATGCCCACGAGCTGCACCATCATCTCCACCTCGCTGTCACGGCGCCGCTTCACTGACTCGCGGTCGTGGTAGACGCGGCAGAGCGTGACCACACTGACGGTGTTGAGGATGAAGGAGAGCAGCACGGAGAGGATGCCCAGCAGTGCAAAGAGCAGGCAGAAGACAACATCGCCTGTGTCAGGCAAGAGGGTGAGGAAGCACCAGGAGCCAGGGAACTGCAGCGTGTACCGCCCCAGCCCGAACACCGGCAGCAGTCCCAGCAAGCAGGAGAAGCCCCACACCAGCCCCACAATGGCCCAAGCACGGCGCTTGGAGAGGCTGGTGGAGCGGGAGAAGGGGCGGTTGATGCCCAAGAACCTTTCCCCAGCCATGGTGGCCCCCAGCAGCAGCGGACACTGCCCAAAGAAGACCATGGAGAATCCAAGGAAGTTGCAGAGGTGGCAGCCAGGGTCCACCTCAGTCCAGGAGAACTTGGTGAAGTGGTAGGGGATGATGACCGAGGCCGTCACCAGCAGCCCCATGAAGTCTGTGACCACCAGCCCACAGAGGAAGATGAGGAAGGAGGAGCGGGCCTGGCTGGAGAGCTTGCGGGAAGAGCTGACCAGGACACAGAGGGCAAAGAGGTTGGAACAGAGGCCGATGAGGCCGAAGGCCGTGGAGAACCAGGGTGAGGCGATGCTGTTCTGTGCACTGGCACGGCCATCACTGGCATTGAAAACCCCGAAACATGAGTCTGCCTGCCCGGCCGTGCTGCTGTTTGGGGGCTCCATGTCCTGCACTCCCTCCTGCTCCTTCCAGCAGCTTCAGGCACCCTCCTGGCTCTGCTCCATGGCTGGAGTCCCCTGCCGCTGCCAGCAGCAGTCCTGCCTTGCCCTGCAGGGGGAACAGAGGGAATTTAAGGCTGTTCTCCACTGCCAAGCCCACCCATCATCCATCCTGAACCTGCAGATACAGAGTCCTCCAGGGGCTGTGGAAAGGGACACCATGGTGGAACCCCAGCCCATGGAGGGGGGCACCAGGGCAGGACCTGGCTCATGCTGGCCTCAGGCACAGCTGCAGTGGGTGCCAAGGGCTGAAACCCCGCAGCTGCTGGCATTAACTGTACCCAACCATGAGCCACGTGGGGCTGCAGCCATGAGGCTGAATCCCTGAAGAGGGTGCTGGGGGAAACTCCGCATTGACAGCCTGGTTCCCTCCTGCCCCAGGGGGACACAGCCAGAGATGCCTGGGCCATCACACTCTGAAGGATGCAGGCGGAGTGGCTGCACCAGGGCATGATCCTGACGCGCTGCCTATCCCTGAGCGTAAACCCCTGGCCCATTGTGAAGATGCTCCATTCCTCCAGTGTTCTGGGGAAACGTGAGGTACAGGTTTGAAGCTGTGCTGCAACCCTGGCACCACTGCCAAACCACAGCCAGTGTGGGTGACAGACCTGCTCTGCCCTCCCGGCACCCCTCACAGTGGAAGCTCTGGGTTTGTCATCACGACAGTGGCTGCAACAGGGATGGCTGTGGACAGCCTGGTCAGTGCCACTCTGCCTTGCTTGGGCAGGGAAGCATCTGGAAATCATAGAATCATGGGATATCCTGAGTTGGAAGGGACCCACAGGGCTCATCAAGTCCAACTCCTACATGGCCCTCCACTGCAAGTTAGTCTAGGCTGCAAATGGGATGATCTGGGCCAGGACAGAGACATGGCAACAGTGGGGACTGGACAACCTGGGAACAAAGACCCTGGCAGAGACCAGACCCCTCCTCTCCTCCTGGGACCCATTTCTTCAGGCTGTGAATGTTCCTGCCACCTCACTTGCCCCAGCTCACCCTCCTGACTGACATGGTCCTCAGCCCAGTGGGCTGAAATGCCTAGTCAGTAGTGGCAACCTACCCCAACCTGCCACCCCTGCAAAGCCCCCACTGTGGGGTCCCTCCATTATGCAGGGTGGCACTGCCACCTGTCTCCTGTCCCCAAGTTAAACCTCACACCAACTCTGATCACTGCCAACCCATCAATGGCCTGGCTCTGGGTCCCCGGGCTGTGTCCCTCACCCAGGCACCCCTCAGCACCAACCCCTCTCTGACCCCTGGTGCAAGGGAGGCCACAGGGCTGCGAGCTGCTGCACACACCCGAGGCACGCACTGATCCCACAGCCTGGCCAGGCTGGGATGGGGCCAGGCATTGCAACATCCTCTTGGGCCTCATCCCGGTGACACACGGGGTGAGGGTGCCAGCACCTATCCAGTGCAGCAGTGCCCTGCCCGTGCCCTGTCACAGGACTTACAGCCCAGGGGAGCAGGGCCGGGGATGGTGGTGGTGGTGGCTCCTCCCCATCTGTCCTTGTGTGGGGGGCTGGCGGAGCATGGTGGTGAATCACTGCGAGGGTGGGCCTGGCTTTTTCCATGAGCCAAGAGTGAAAACTTGCTGCTGTTTGTTCTCACTGGTCCCTGAGGGACTACATCAGCCCCAGAGGCGTCGGCCCTGCAGACATGTGGTGAGGCCTCAGCATGATGTTCTAAGACCTTGAGGAGTCACCAGCCTTTCCCACATCCTCTGAGAGGTGACAAAGTCACCCCTGCAGCACAGTGATACCACACAAGTGCCTGGTGCACCAGTCCCACTCCAGCTGTCCCTTGCCATGCACCTGCCCACACAGTCAGGGTGCTGTCCCCAGACACGTTCCCTCTGTCCCAGGGTGCTCCCTCTGCTCACTGGGGCTCAAGAGCCCATGGGGTGATGCTGCCCTGCTGTACCTATTACCTGGGTATTCACAGCTACAGGATGCTCTTGGCTGCTCCCTGGCTCACTGTGGCAGGGCATGACCCCTCCCTTCAGTGTCCAGTGGAAGGGGGGGTCCTCCCTGCAGTGGTACCTTGGCCAGACAAGGAGGCAGAAGCTCCAAATTCCACCATTACCTACATCCCCTCCCTGCCCTCCCTTCACCTCCTGCCCTGACACAACCACAACCTGGACCCTCATCCACTGCCCACTGCAGCCTGGAGAGGGACCCCGGGGGCTTGGAGGGCTCTGAGTTGGGCTCAGGGGCTGAGCAGCTGGGATCCCCCTGTGCAGAACTGCCTCAGCTGGGCACAGCACTTAGAGGGAATCAAATATTTACAAGGGGCCACTTTGCAGCCACAGGAGAGAAAGGAAACCCCTGCTGTGCCAGAACACACCAGTGGGTGCCTCTAGGAAGAGGTTCATGTGGGGGCAGAGGGTCCCCACTTGCCATTTCCCCCCCATCACGGCCAGCCTCTGCAGGAGGATGCATGTGGGGACAGCAGATCCTGCAGAAGAGAAATTCTGAGCCCAGGGACTGTCCCCACTGTCCCCCACGGGGGGCCCCCCGTGCTCTGGTTTGGGGTTCTGGACCCAGCAAAATGGACATGCCATGGGAGCAAGGGTTTGGCAAGGGGTGCTGGGGTAAAATCCTAAAGGAGAGGAGCTAGCTCTGAAATGTTCTGCTGGAGGCTGTGAGGCACTGGTAGTGGGCTGTGGGGGGTTGATGCAGGCACTAATGGGGCTTCTGGCAGGTTTGGGTCCTGCTGCAGATGCACCAAGGCTGCCCTACCTCTGCTGGGCACTGCCTCCTGCCCTGGCCACATCCGAGGGGAGTGAGGGAAAGGCAGATGAGGAGTGTGGGAGGCTGCTCCTTATCAGCTTCTGCCCCAGCTTGCTGTTTCCCCAGACTTCCCCAGGTAGGATTGGGCATGGGGCCTGGACAGGGCTTGCAAGATCAGGCCGAGGTGGGGGTTGGAAGGGGAGAGGCACCACATACCTGCAAAGGGACTCCCAAACCCCCCAGGTGTACCCTCACCCTGGGGTCTGCCACTGGATGCGATGCTTAGCCACGGGGCAGCCGTGCAGAAGATGCTGCAGGGCATTTGCATTTCTCCCTTCTGTGGCCAGTCTCTGCTTGCTGGACCTCTCCAGGACAATGACTTTCTCTGCATGATCCCTTCTGTCTCCACAGCCTGATGCCTCTGGTGCAGGTGGTCTCAGAGACACTGTGTCACCTGTTGGGGATGGATGTGGTCCTGGTGCCATCTCCCTCTAGGCTGGGGCTCTGGGGTATCAAATCAATTCGAGGTCATCAGCTGAGACAGGAAAGGCCATGGGGATGAGGTCTTGGCATGAGTGTTCCTCCCTGGGCCCACAACCATCACAAGGACCTGCTCCTGAAGAAGCTGGCCTGGCCTACAGTAGGGACATCCCTAGGACACTCAGGACAGAGGACATTCCTGGGAAGCAGTGACACACAGGACGGTTCCTGCCAGGTATGGTAACTGTCCTCGCATATCCCTGTGGTGGCCCAGGGCAGAGGTCCCCAACCTCGCTGACTGGGAAACAACTGGCACCATCCCCATTCCAAATTCCAGGGCCCAGGAGCTGGGCAGGCGGTGGCTGGAGGATCAACCCAGATGCGCTGGAGTGAGAAGCTGGGGCTGGGCAGCCCTGGGGCACCGGG